GGCTATATTGGGTATTTGTAAGATTTTTAAAAAAATTAACGGATTCTATTTTTTGACAAATTTCCATATTTGTTGTAAATGGTAGAGGGTATTCAAAGTTCGGCCCGAACAAACTTACTACTTTTTACTTGTTTCAGTCTAAAAATGGGAAATGCCGATTTGATTTGACAAAGGTAACAACAAAGAGGTCTTTGAGCTCTTTAAAGGAGTTAAATATTTTAAAGGAGATCTAAATGAGTGTCATCTTTTTGTAGAAATTAAAATATATTAATAATAAATGAAGTGATGCAAATTTAGCGTTTTTTCGTTGCAGCAGAAAATTTTAAGCGTTTAAAAGACAGGGCTGCCATTTATCGGCATTTTGACGATTTTTCACTCTAAAACTGGGAAATGCTGATTTGGCGCTTTTTGCCTCAAAAATGTCGATATTTAACGATCGAAACAAATTGTCTCAGATTTTAATTTAAGACGGCAATAAGCGTTGCCAAAGTATATTTCAATATGAAAAATATTTCAAAATAAATCAAACGTATTTTGCTTAACCAACTAGAATTACTTTTAGAAGCATTTTGAGCAATTTATTAAAACAGGAAGTTATGAGAGATAACTGAATTTAAGGACAGCAATTTTTTTGAACCCTCATTGTCAAACTAAGATCGAGTTCGGAGATGGACAATATCGGTCCACTCCTTCTGTTACCTCCCCCACAAAATGTCAACATTTTTTAAGAAACTAATTTACCGCACAGAATACGAAAGCATAATCCCATTTTGTTCCACCTTTGTAAATCCTAATATTTGCATCAGTGCTAGGTCAGGTGCGAAAATGGACAAAATCGCCTCATTCCATCAAGTACCTCCACCACAAAATGTCAACATTTTAAATAATACTAACTCTTATACAATGTGATTTAAGTGTCCAATAGGCTTCAACTTACACACATCAGAATATTTTTATTAACCAAAGGTCTGGTGTGAAGATGGAAAAGCTGATAAAACGCGAAATTAACATCCGATTCCATGCAGACTTGGCACATCTCAATATTTCTATCAACCCAAGATCTGTTATAAAGACGGTAGAGATTGGACCATTCCTTCTGGTACCTCCCCAACATAGGGTCAAAGTTTTTAATAACCAAAACAATCATAAAATCCAAAATAAGCAGCCGGTTCTCTTCATATTTTACACACTTCATTGTTTCTACTAACACAAGAACTGCTCTGAAGATGGAATATATCGGTCCACTGCCTCTGGTACCTCCGCCACAAAGTGTCAAAATTTTGAATATTCATGAAGCTGATAAAACGCGAAATTAACATCCGCTACCATTCAGCCTTGGTATATCTTAATATTTCTATCAACCCAAGATCTGTTATAAAGACTGTAGAGATTGGAGCATTCCTTCTGGCACCTCCCCAACATAGGGTCAAAGTTTTTAATAACCAAAACAATCATAAAATCCAAAATAAGCAGCCGGTTCTCTTCATATTTTACACACTTCATTGTTTCTACTAACACAAGAACTGCTCTGAAGATGGAATATATCGGTCCACTGCCTCTGGTACCTCCTCCACAAAGTGTCAAAATTTTGAATATTCATGAAGCTGATAAAACGCGAAATTAACATCCGCTACCATTCAGACTTGGTACATCTTAATATTTCCATCAACACAAGATCTGTTATAAAGATGGTAGAGATTGGACCATTGCTTCTGGTACCTACCCCACAGAGGGTTCTAGATTTTGAAAAACAAAACGCTTAAAGAAAGCAAAATAAGCATCCAACTCACATCAAATATGACACATACAAACATTTTTGCTAACGCAAGATCTGTTAAATAATTTTATCTGTCATAACTTGCGAAACAATTGAGCGATTCTTTACAACTTGCCATATCTAAATATTTATCTCAACCAGAAACCCGATATGAATATGTAATTTATCGGAATTCATGATTTCGCATAAAATTGGATATAAATGTTCGATTTCCTTTAAATTTTACACGTACCAATATTTTAATCTGTATTAGTTGAAGTGGAATTTTTCGGTCCGCTATATCTGGTACCTCACCAATATTTCCACATTTTCTACAAGTTGCACAAAATATCATATAAAATGTATAGGGAGTAGTCGATATAGCCCAAATCTGACACGTTGTGATATATATGTCAGTCTTAGGTCATATATGAAATGGTCAATATTGGCCAACTGCTTGGGAACCTCTCCGATATAAGGTCAACATAGTAGAATTTTATGACAAATAACTAGAATATTTAAACTTCCTACGATCTTGTTTTAATTTGTATTTAAAATAGATTTAAAACAAGTAAACAAAGGCTATAGTCGTGCGGGGCCGACTATGTAATACCCTACAACACTACAATATGTTAGAAGCCCCCTTATGTAAAAATCCATATTGGAAGTTTTCGCTTTTGAAATAAGGATTTTGACTATGGACATTTGCCCAATATTTATGCACTCCGTCGGGCTGTTAGTTGTTGTGGTCCATTTTACAGTTAAATGTAATCCAAAATGCTAGAATTCTTCCCTTTCCTTAATTCCCTTCACAGGCGTGTCGATTAGCTTCAATTGTGTGATCGGAAAAACAGCTATGTTTTTGGTTAGTTTGAACCCCTAAATATTTTGCGATCATCTCCAAAAGCAAGGAGCCCCTCTGTTTCTCCGAATTAAGACTCATCTACACGATTTGCTTGTCTACGATATTTGGCTATATTCGTCAACGAAATCAGCATAAAAAGGCCAGAAGTTTGCCTTTTGTGTATTTCGGATATTTCATATAAGTGTTGCTGGTATTTTTTTCACACAAAATTAGAGGTCCATTCTACCCGCTGTCCTAAACTCTAACTTTATGCGAGATTTCGTGTCCTTTGGTTTCTATTTGTGATCTTTATAACGACTGCAAAATATTCGCGGTTTAATAGAAAATTTGAGTTTTATTTAACACAAATGTTGTGGCCTATTTCACCCACTAAATATTACCCGATGACCATCAAAATTAAAAAGGCTTCTGCCCAGCCCTAAGCTCTAGCCCCATGCTAATTTTCGCTTTGATTGGTCTATAATTGCGACCTGTAGAGCAACTGCAAAATCAGGAATTTTGTCAGTTTTTGGTCCATTTCAACCCCTAAATATTATGCGATCATCTCCAAAAGAAATAGGGTTCTATTCTGGCCCTAGCCCCACCTCCATTCTAAATTTCGTGAAGATCGGACCATAACTGCGGCCTGTAGAGTGATTACAAATTAACATGGACAGACGGACGGACGGACATACATAGCTAGATCGACTCAGCTCGGCGAGATAGGAAGATCCATATAAACTTTCCTATGTGGGAAACCAATATTACGTGGTATTACATAATTTTTGGCCCAATCAAACTTATAATACCCCCAACACATAGTGTTGTAGGGTATAAAAAGAACTAGAATATGAGTTGGTAAGGATTGCGAATTAAAATGTTCATCAAAAATAATCCTGGTATTTCTATTCGTAATATTGTCAAAGACACCATATACCTAAAGGGTGATTTTTTTGAGGTTAGGATTTTCATGCATTAGTATTTGACAGATCACGTGGGATTTCAGACATGGTGTCAAAGAGAAAGATGCTCAGTATGCTTTGACATTTCATCATGAATAGACTTACTAACGAGCAACGCTTGCAAATCATTGAATTTTATTACCAAAATGTTGGCAGAAAATCCGCTTTTTTATCGACAAATTTTGTTCAGCGATGAGGGTCATTTCTGGTTGAATGGCTACGTAAATAAGCAAAATTGCCGCATTTGGAGTGAAGAGCAACCAGAAGCCGTTCAAGAACTGCCCATGCATCCCGAAAAATGCACTGCTTGGTGTGGTTTGTACGCTGGTGGAATCATTGGACCGTATTTTTTCAAAGATGCTGTTGGACGCAACGTTACGGTGAATGGCGATCGCTATCGTTCGATGCTAACAAACTTTTTGTTGCCAAAAATGGAAGAACTGAACTTGGTTGACATGTGGTTTCAACAAGATGGCGCTACATGCCACACAGCTCGCGATTCTATGGCCATTTTGAGGGAAAACTTCGGAGAACAATTCATCTCAAGAAATGGACCGGTAAGTTGGCCACCAAGATCATGCGATTTGACTCCTTTAGACTATTTTTTGTGGGGCTACGTCAAGTCTAAAGTCTACAGAAATAAGCCAGCAACTATTCCAGCTTTGGAAGACAACATTTCCGAAGAAATTCGGGCTATTCCGGCCGAAATGCTCGAAAAAGTTGCCCAAAATTGGACTTTCCGAATGGACCACCTAAGACGCAGCCGCGGTCAACATTTAAATGAAATTATCTTCAAAAAGTAAATGTCATGGACCAATCTAACGTTTCAAATAAAGAACCGATGAGATTTTGCAAATTTTATGCGTTTTTTTAAAAAAAAAGTTATCAAGCTCTTAAAAAATCACTCTTTAAAATGCCTATAACCCAAGGCATAATTATCTGAAAATTGATCATCAAATGTGAAAGAGGGAGGTACATGTAGATTTAAAACTCCAATACACGTGTCTTCTACTTTTAACTCAGGTTTCACAATCTACCGAGTTTTACCTGTAATCACGCTTTGTTTTGTCCATTGTTTTAAAATAAAATTAACGATTTTTTAAGCCAGGATTTTGGGACCACAGCCTCTATTCACAATACCAAGATATGAGAAATGCTGCATATTTATGTTTTACTAGATTTAGTTTAGTAAGTCTCCCAGAAAATCTGTTACATGTTCTTGACATACTTCGGAAAATATCTTTCGTTAAAAGTGATTTCCTTTGTTTTGCAACGACATCTTGTTTCACTTGCAAAAACTAAATTTGTAGATGCTGTAACTCACCGAGAGAACTTGATCTCCTCAGAAATCTCTCTCTCTCTCTCTCTCTCTCTCTCTCTCTCTCTCTCTGCATACTACCAGCTGTTTCACAACAAATCAACAAATCTCAGTGGCGATGATGTGAATAGGGTGCATGGCAATAAACCAAAAATAGAAGCAAACAAACACATTTTGGTGGAAAAATGGAATAAAAACACAAATTGAATAAATTTAATGACAAAAGAAAAACAAATTTTATTTGGCATACATTTCAGTGGCATTTGAATTCAATTAAAAAAATAAAATATATAAACAAAAACAACAACTATGGCATTTTTGTGTCCAGTGCGTATGAGGCGTGACAAAAAGAAAGGTATAGATACTAACAAAGTGTAGTTTTCCAAGTGTTTAGGAAGTTTTGATTTGAAGACTATTAAATGATTTAAGGAACAAAACAAAGGACCTAAGACCCAAACTTGAAAAGTTGTCAAGCAAACAAAAGACTTAAGCAACGAACGTAAACTAATTTCCTTCTTTTTTCCAACAGCCACCAATGCAAACATTGAACGTGATTTACCCTTGCCTGGCGGTGTTACTGTTGGCCTAGGTCGCATCACTGGTTCTTCCAGTATTGAAACATTGGTCAGGGTGGGCATTGAAAAGGAACATGGCTTGAGTCCCGATTCCAAAATGGTTGTCCTACACGACTTCACACCCTGTGTGGACGATGAGTTGGAGGTAAAACGTGGCCAAGTGGTCAACATACTCTATCGTGAAAATGATTGGGTCTATGTCATTGGTGAAGATTCGCGGCAAGAGGGCTTTATACCCTACTCCTATTGTGCGCCCTACAATACCCAGTTAGCTGATATGGCCATTAAAAAGAAACTACCGCGTGGCGAAGGTGGTGGTGGTAGTGGCGCTGGGGAGCATAGTGAAACCATACCTTTGATCCAATCCAATGACAATGCCAAACTGGATTTAATTGAAGAGGTCAACAACGCCCAGGCGGCATTGAAAAATGCCGTGGCTGAACTCAACTCCCCACTTCTAATGGATGCCGGAGAGTGTACCCCTTTCCACAAGGAACCGAATGGTCGTTATATTGTTCTCTACACTTTTATTGCACGCGATGAAAATGATTTATCTGTGGAGAGGGGAGAATTTGTGACACTCCTAAATCGTGATGACAGCGATTGGTTTTGGATTGTTCGCAGCGATGGCCAGGAGGGCTTTGTGCCCTCAGCATTTATATATCCAGCTGATAGTGTGCTCCAAACACAACAGAAACTGATGGAAAATTCCCTTAGTAAATCAAATGGACAAATATCAACGGGTTCAGGTGCGGCCCAGGGTAATTTGAATTCCTTAAGCCAACCCGTAACCATGCCAAGTGCTAACACAAATGGTGGTGTTGAGAATACCTTGCAGCCAACCCAGCAGCAGCAACAACAGACACAGCAAAATTCCCAGAATTCTACGGCACAAATTCCCGCCGATGATGTTCGTTATGGCACGGAGCTGGTCATGCTTTATGATTATAAGGTAAAAGCGGAAATTTTTTTTTTGGAAAATTCTTTCAGTTTATTTTTTGTTTACCTCAGAATCGAGTTTGTTAAACAAATCCTGAAGTTCCCAGAAAAAAGTAGATTTTCTCAATAGAAAGAGATAGCAAAATAGTATGTTTTTATAGAAACCAATTCTCTGGGATTTGTTTGGGAAATAAAACTTTGTTCTTGAGGGCTATTATTTTTCTACAGAAAAAATTTTCAGACCCTGAAAAGTGTTTCTTTTTTAAAGAATCCTTGAATCCAGAAATAAAATTTTAGACAAAAGTGAAGTTTTTTATTTTTTTTAAATATCTAATTTTAAGAAAAATATTTCTCCGAATTGCTCAAAATCTAATGGGTTTTCAATAGAGAATATCGGATCCCAGGAGCAGAAGATTATTTCCTTCCTTATTTTGGGAAATTCTTTCAGTTAATGACGAAATATTTTGACTTCTAAGGGTGATTTTTCCCTGAGAATCGATGGTTTTTTATACCCTCCACGATTCTATGGAGGGTATACTAACTTTGTCTTTCCGTTTGTAACTCCTCGAAATATTCATAATAGACCCTACCCTAGAATATATATACTTTATTCTGGATCAGCGTAAAATTCTAAGACGATCTATGAGGCGATGTCCGTCCGTCTGTTGTAATCACGCTATCATTCGAACGAATTGAGATAGAAGGCTAAAAAGTATGCAGGCCCACATCTCCGTATAGCCTCCGGAGACGGTACCTCCCGGTAATCCGTAATTTCATGATTTTTGCGACATTATACACCGTAGTTGTAACAAATTTTGCATTTGAAGTTCGTAATTGACACTACAGCCTATGGCAAAAATGTCGTTGCAGGTCCACGTCTTCGTATAGTCCCCATATAACGGTTTTAATTTAAGTGGTAGTTTTCTGAATTTTTTTTTTAATTTTTCAATTTCTTTCGAAATTGTGGAAGTTCTGCCCGGCCGAACTTAGCTGCTTTTTACTTGTTAAACAAATCATAAAGTTCGGAACTTCGAAAAAGTAAATTTTCTCAATAGAAAGAAGACTCCGGAATATTGAGTTTTTATAGAAACCAATCCACTGGGATTTATTTGGTCCTCCGTTCTCTGTTCTTAAGGACTTTTATACAGAAAAAATCAGATCCTCAGAAGAAATTTATTTTTAAAGTATCCTTGCATCCATAGAAATATTTTTTTACAGACCAAAATGAACTTTTTTAAACATTTTTTAAGGAAATAAAATATTTCTCGGAACATAATAATTCCATGTATTCAAAATTGGTTCTCAAGAAATAACAATTTTGAAGTAAAACATATCAGAATCAGAAGATTATTTCCTATAAAGAAAATATTCCTCTGGGGCCAAGAAATTGTGTTATTGGGTAACATTCTGACTTTGTAGGTTCTAGTTTTTTATCAGAATAATATTTTTGAGATCTAAAAAATAGATTTTTTTTTTATAAAAATCTGGCACTTTTCTCGTTCTTACATAGGGAAGAATGATCACTTTCCTCAAACAAATTTTAAAATTTCGCATTGCTTGTTTTCAGGCCCAGGCTCCCGACGATTTGAGTGTGAGACGCGGTGATTGGATATATGCTGATCTAAATAATCAAACAGTCGATGGTTGGCTATGGTCTTATGCCCCGAAGACAAGAAAATATGGATTTATTCCAAAAGCCTATGCTAGGCCACCTGCCATGACAAGCCTTTAAAATTGTATTCCAAAAAAAAACGTACAATATAATTGCATTTCTTTTAATTACTATTTCATTTTTGAGTAATACTTTTATTAATAATATTTTGCAGCTAAATATATATTAAAAAAATATATCATTTGTGTACAATTTGTTGATGTTTTTTTTTCTCTTATGCATGCGAGCAGTAAATAGTCTTTCGAGTACGAAATTTACATACATACATCTTTATGTTTGTTTTTTGGATATAAGGTCACTTTTATTTTTTGTTTGTTTATTGCTCTAATATATATTGTTTATCTTTCTTTCACTCTTGCACAACTTAAGTTTAAATTTACTAATTACAAATTACAAAAATATTAAAATTAGTCTTAATGTAATTACAGGTTACTGATGGTGTATACAGAAGATTCAATGTTGCAGAAAAACAAATACATAGTTGATTATTTTCCTTCCAAGCAAATACTTTTAAATATAAAAAATAGGATAACTTTGTTTTGAGAATAATTTGGTTCTTTACACAAAGTTGGATATTTTCGAGATAGCAATGAAAAGAAATATAGCTACCTACATACATATATAAAGAAAATACTACCAATTTATTTGCAATGTATATAGTAGTAGCATATAATATCACTTATATATTTGTTTTTTTTTTTTTTTTTTATTAAACTAAAGAGAAAAAGGAAGCTAAATGCTTTTTGTATAGGGTTTCCTTTTGTGTGTGGTGAAGATATACTAAAAGAATTATGCTCAACATAATTTGTTTGTATATCAAAAACCAAGTTTTCCTCTTAACAAAATGAAGTATTTGTAGACACCGTTTTGCTTCTTCACCTTTTACAATCACTTTGGGTGGTTTTAAAATAGGGGCCCAAAGTTAGCTGGCATCCTTTTTTTCATCAAATTATAACTAAAAATTGTGTGTTTATGTTTGTGGGATTCAGTGTTATGTATTTCTTGCTCCTATTCTTAGGCATTTCCATTTGTGGGATTTATATTTAGGGTGCTGCAAAACAAAAAGTAAAATTATTAATAACAAATTTTAAATTTTTTTATGTCAATTAAAAAGCACAGAAGATTCCTCAAATATATTCTACCTATAGGAGAACTATGAAAAATCTTTATCCTATGAAAGACCCTATAAAACTTGTTTTTTTGAAGACACCTTAAGGTATCTCATAGCGGACCTCTGAAGGGTCTTCTATAAAGGGATGATGAATTGTGAAAGCTATAGCATTCGTATAAGACCATCAATCAATAGAAGGATTCTAAATTATTTTTCGTGCACAGAAAACATATGAAAGGTATTATATCCATAAAAGACATCTCAATGACATTCTAATCTTGGAATGCCCCCAAAAATATTAAGGACCCAAAAAAAAAATAAAAAAATTAAAAAATTCGGTTTTGCCGACAGATGTGTACCCTCAGCTAATGTTCGTTGATTTGCGCTATTATTACTCAAAATGTTGACAACCTATGAGGAGGTTCCGAAGCTCTTAGGCTAATATAAATTTTACAACGTGACATATTTGGAATATATCAAATCAATTTGGACTAAGGGGAATGTTGAATTGAAGGCTGAAATAGTTGTATGTGGAACATTTAAAGAAAATCGAACATTTATTTTCAAGTTTATGTGAATAACACAAAATTAAAACTTTAACCTTTTTTGGGGAAAGTAACAGACGGATTGTGCCCATAAATTCCATATTCACATTAGATTTCTGAGTAATACAGGGTTGCACATATTCATGTCACATCGCTTAATGACATACCGCGTTTGAAGCGTCAGTCCAAGCAGATTTTTACCATGAACCAATACACGCCACGCGAGCGCTTTGAAATAGTTGAAATTTACATTCAACAGAAGAAGTCAATTGTGAAAACTCAACGTGCTTTTAAAACATTAAGAAATGTGAGAAGTGCGCCTTCTAAGGGACCGTAAATAAGCAAAATTGCGGTTTTTACGCCACTGAAAATCCTCAGGAGATTCAAGAAGTTCATGACGAAAAAGTCACAGTTTGGTGCAGCGTTAGTGCGAAAAAGGTCTTTGGGCCGTTTTTCTTCCAAAATGAAAATGGCCATGCTGTTACCATCAACGAGGAGCGTTATCGCGACATGATGACCAATTTTGTGATGCCAATTATTCGTCGAAAGCGTATGAGGCAGTTCTGGTTTCAACAAGACGGCGCTCCACCGCACACAAGTCGCATAACAAAACATGGGTCCGTCGAATATGGACAACCCTGTATTTAGATAAACTATATTTTGAAAAGAATCCCTGACTTGTTTCGTAAGCAATAAGAGACGTATGTATTAATAATTTTGACCCTTTTTGTGAGGGAGGTGCCAGAAAGGATGGACTCATATCTATCATCTTCACACCAGGACCTGCGTTAATAGAAATATTGGGATGTGAAATCTGAACTTGTATGCTTATTTCGCATTTTATGAGCTTCATAATTATTCAATATATTAACCCGTTGCGATGAAGGTACCAGAAGCAGTGGACCGATATATTCCCTCTTCTACCTAGATCTTGTGTTGATAGAAATATTGAGATGTGCCGAATTTGAAAGGAATCGGATGCTAATTTCACGCTTTAGAGTTTCATTGTTACTCAAAAATTTGACCCGACCCAGGGAGGTACTAGAAGGAGTGCTCCGTTCTATCCAATCTTCATGTCAGATCTTATGTGGGTAAAAAGATAGAGTTGTGCGAAATTTGAGGAGATTTTTAATATATTTTTTTTTTTACATTTTAAACAATTATAATTATTAAAAATTTCGACCCTTGGTGAGGGAGGTACTTGATGGAGTGGACCGAAAGTGTTCATTTCCACACATTACCTAACACTGATTAAAACATTAGAATTTGCAAAGTTTGCACAAAATTCTAGTTCTAAAAGGAAAACTATTTTTTATGAAAATTTTGACAGGAAGGAGGGGCCGTGTTAAATATCTCCGAACTCGATCTAAGTTTGATAATATAACAATTGGACCAAAAACTGATACTCCTTTCGACATTCTGGCGCGCATGCCGGACAGACGGACGGACGGAGATCTATTAAAAATGTCCTGAAACGGATTTGGCCCAAGAGAACTAGGTTCTAAAACCGTTATTTCACATCAAATGATGTATAGCACATGTAGCCCTATGACTGAGGGTATGAAAACGAAAGGTCTATTTTCCATAAAAAAAATAACCTTAAAAGGCTCTCATCCCATAAAAGGGCTTTTCAAATATCTTTTCCCTACAAAATACGACATAATTACTTCTTTCCATAAAAAAAACCTCTACAAATTCTTATCCCCATAGAAAAAGAGATCAAAAATAACAGTTATTAATTGAAGACCTCAAGAATATATATTCTGGCCCTTGAAGACCTCTAATCGGCCTTTAACCTGTAAAAGACCTCTGAAAAGGGGTCCTATTACGCAAGGTATTTTATTCAGAGAAGACCTCCAAAAGCTATAGATATTTTATGTTCAGAGAGGGAATTTAAAAAGGCATCTACCCATAATAGACCTTTAGGAGGTCTACCATTCACAAATAGAACAATAAAGTGTTTTTAAACCGTATTTTATATACATATTCGAACGAAGATTTTTAAATAGTCTATACTAATGGAACAACCTAAAAAAACAATAAAAGGCATTATTTCTAAACAAGACTAGTTAGAGGTATTTTATACATATAATATCCATTACATTTAGAAATCCTCTAAGAGGTCCTAAAATGTCTGAACAGTAACAATTTCGGTATATGTATCAATAAGAACCTCGAGAATGTTTTCTATCTATAGAAACCTCTACAAGGTTTTTGTCCATGGACGACCTCGAGCCTATTTTTTTTTTCACAAAATATCTTCTATCCATAAAACCCTTTGAGTTCTATAGATGATACCCCTGTGAAAGCTCGTTTATGGGCAGAAAGCATTCTAAACGTCATAATATGTTAGAGGACCCCGAAAATTCGTCTATAAACAGATGAACATCTAGTGAACTTCTTAGAGTGAATCCTTTTGAAAAAAATTGTAATCAAAAAAATGTATTCAAAAAATATATATATAGTCAGTTCTACATACCTTAGCATATCTTTCAATTGCTCCTTCTCCTGATGGACATCACGCAATTTCTGCTGTAGCTGTAATATCAAATCATTTTTATTGTTTATTTGCATTTTTAAATGAGCAATTGTTTCCTCTTGTGCTTCGAATATTGCCTGCCAAATAAAAAGTAGAATAGATAAGGAAATTGATTATTAAGTGCGAAAACAAACAATTAGCTATCAAAATCTAGTGTTAAGCCGGCTGGCTGATAAAACAAATAGACACCAGCAGTGTATGACGAATACATTTCGTTACAAAATAAATGGTATGTTTTGTAAAACAAATATCAGAGGCAGCTGGCCCACACTACCAATTAGCATCACGCATACTCATGTGATTGTGGTTAGCAAAATTACTGATAGCTTGCTAAGAACAGAAAAAGGCTTAGACACAATTCTGGAGGATTTAGAGTACAGTTTTGAAATGACTTCAATTACAGACACTGCTTGTTAATATATTATCGTTAAAATTAAATTAAGGTACTCTTTAAAAAAAATAAATTATCCCTTACCCTACACTCTTCCATGGATTCGGAATATGATGGCGGTTCGTCTAAACAGAAAAACTCCCTCACCAATTGGCATTTTCTCAATTCCTCTTTGCTCATGATGGAGTTGACAAACATTTGCAGGCCTTGTATGCGATTATCCAAAAACACTGAATTGAAATTATCACCGAAAATCTTTTTGCGCGGTAAATTCAGCGTTAGATGAGGAAATGATTGCTTCAACTTGGTATTGAGACGTACAAAATCGGTATAGCGTCTTAGGACCAACCAGCAATCATTTGTATGAGGATTTTCCACACGCAATTTGTAGACAGTGAAACGGGCTCTTTCCTCCATGACCTCATAACCAATGATGGGTATACGCAGTATACTATTTGGATCAACGGGTGGAACTGTATGACCCAATCCGCTGATCGATGAGGAAGTCATTTCACTTGTGGACATTGAATTTGTACGTTGGTTTCTCTTGTAATTGCCCTCACTCATGCGTCTTTGCGAGGGAACACCTCCCCCACCACCGCCACTGGAGCACAGTACATCGATGTGATGGTGTGATGAAGAGGCATATGACGATTGGGTTAGGTCACGATGGGATCTTGCACCACTTAACATGCTTGTGTTAGATTGTTGCGCCTGACGTGGTATTATTGCCGATTGTGACAAACGTTTGGCGTTGTTGTTGTTGTTATTTGTATTACTGGCAGTAGAAGCTTGATAGCTGTGTGTGGAAATGGTTTTGAGACAGACCTCCGATTTGGCATTCAGCAAAGCACCTTGTTTTAATTGATTTTGGCTACTCAGCAGCTTATCGATATCCCCCTCGGACTTGGTTCTTACCAAACGGGCGGCCTCCAAACGTCTCAATGTTTCCGAAGGTTCACCAAATTCCGGGTTCGATTGCGTTAAACGTCCCAGTAATTTGTGTTGTTGCCTTAGATTACTCAGCGAATGGTTGTTGTGTTTTTTAATCGACGTTTGCAAGGAACCCCCTTCGCCAGCCGTTGTACGGCTCACTACACCTTGCTGCTGCTGCTGTTGTTGTTGCGCACCCTTAATTGTTTTGGTCAGTTTTCGAAACAAACTTGTCCTTCCGTTTGCTGCACTCGCAGCAGAAGGGGGCAACAATTGATTCTCGCGCTTTTTGATAGCGCGCAAAGACATTTGGTATCAATGCCCCAAAGGAAACTTCCAGGCGGAGGAAGCTACGTTGCGGAACTAATATTTGCAAAAATTAGAAATTTGCATAAATAATGTGATGTTGTTGGTTACGACGACGATGTTTTATGATGACGGCATCCACCACACTCTTGAACTCTTGAGTGTCATCCAAAACAAAAAGAAAACTCAAACCACTACGGATATTTTTATAATTTTTGGAAACACAACCGTAATTGCAATTACAAACAAAAACTTGAGACGTTTAAAAACGCATTGGAGAAAAAAATTAACACAAAACGAAAAAAATAAATAAAAACCAAAAAAAAAACTATTTCTATGCTTGCTTTGTTGGTAGACGTTATTTGTTTTCTTTTCTACTAGAGAATAGTGTGGGCCAGAGAATAAGAAGCAAGTCGATTGAGAAACGGCGCCGTCGTGTACTTCTTTATTTTAGACGCCGCCACCAATTTTGTCGGCTCATAACGAAGCTTCAAAAAAGCGCTCCATTTTGTTTTAAAACAGTTCTAAAAAAATTCTTCCCAAATTGTATTAAGAAAGTTTAAGGGGAAAAAATGTAAAAAATATACGCGAACGGGTAATTCCTTTTGTGTTTTTATTTTTGAAAAATATGTTAATAATAATGACAGAAAGTTCAATGATGAAATGAAAAGCAAGGGAACTAATGAGGATTGGTGGCACTTTCCGAAACTTAGGTATTCCCTGCCGTACCCCTGGTAAACATTACCATCGTTCTCCACTAATAAACAAACGTTGTTTTTTATAACAACAATAATGGGGTTATGCCTAAATTTTTTGCAACAACAAAAGAAACAAATATTATTTATTTTTCCTTTATTATATCGAAATAAACTCCAAAACTAGGAGATTCTAACAGGATCAGCAACAGAGCAAACGTTTTTAGTTTTTTATTATTATAGGTCCGTGGCCAGTCGTACGTTTTTTCAGCCAAAAATGACCATGGTGTTGTATATTCAGGCCGAAATCACGATTTAAGCTTTGATCAGTTTCACCCTTTTGGGCCTAGTTGTCAGATCAGGGATGGGAAATTGTAAAATATCTTAAATCAGAGTTGTAATTAATCCCAGTTGTAGTAAAACTTACGTTTTATCCAATTCAGCCTCTTTACGAAATCTATATATACTCGAAATATATATACTTTTCCCATTCGAAAAAAAATTAGATTTGGAACTCATTTTTGAGTTACCGACTAAAATCAGTAACATTTTACAGTAAATTATCATAAAAGCTTTCCATACTATATAATGGGAGAAAAAATAATTCAAGAATTATTATTAGATTATTCTTCAAAATGTTTATCCAAACCTTCCCTGCTTAAAGCAAAATTAATGATGTAGTCTCATATTAATATGTCCAATTCATGTGTCATGTTCTACAATTGAGAAATTATAGTTTTTTAATTAACAAATTATTTTCTCATTCTCTGTAGCACACCTAACGAAATTGATCTATCACCGAGCCACTTAAAATACATTTTTTGCCGCAAACAAAAATTTTGTAACGCCGATGAGTTGACATAAGCCGTACGCCGTTGTCGCCTACGTTAGCCAACCAAATTGATGCCGACTCGTGTTTTTTTAATTTTCATAGTTGTCGATTGCATTTTCCCATTTTGAAAAGGAATCAAGTCATTTTTAAAACAAAACTATGGCCGACGTTTTGGATATTGATAATGCCGAAGAGTTTGAAGTAGATGAGGATGGTGATCGTAAGTTAATCTTTTAATAAAGACCACAAACCGTGTTCTAAACAACAACTTTCTTTTTAGAGGGAATCGTACGTCTCAAAGAGAAGGCAAAACACCGCAAAGGCAGAGGTTTTGGCAGTGAAACCACAACGCGTGAAACAATTCATCAATATGAACGTGTACGTCATGAGGATGACGATGAACTTGAGCCCGGCCCACAACGTTCAGTGGAGGGTTGGATTCTGTTTGTAACTAATATCCACGAAGAAGCCCAGGAGGATGAAATACAAGAGAAATTCTGTGATTTCGGTGACATCAAAAATATTCACTTGAATTTGGATCGGCGAACGGGTTTCTCCAAGGGCTATGCTTTGGTCGAATTCGAAACACACAAACAAGCCTTGGCCGCAAAAGATGCTTTAAATGGTGCAGAGATAATGGGTCAAGCTATACAGGTCGATTGGTGCTTTGTTAAGGGTCCCAAACGTTTGAAGAAATCATCAGAAAAAAGGCGTCGTTGAAAAGAGGAATCGAATCACAGGATTAACGGCAATTTTATGACTAAAACTGTATTTTACATTAATATTTAAGACTTTTGCATTCACTCAACTCTGGTAAAAAAAGTTCATGCATCTACATATATAAGTGAACCATTGCAAATATCGTAAATATAGTTAAATTATAAAAACGATGAAGAGACGCTACAATGAATTTTGAACAAATATTAACATTTTGTAATGTTATATGTACCTACAAAAGAAAAAAAAAATAAAATGAAGCTCAGATAACACCATGTACTCGGAAATGTTTTGTTGAACCTGGTTTCTTCCTCTTAAATGCATTCATACATTTCGTCAATTTTCCGATTTGAACATATACATATTTCTCATCTGTCTCTAAGTATTTAGAACTAAAAGGAATATTTCCCACTACTGCGGAAATAGAAGGAAGCTAATTTTAGAAAATTAATTTAGAATTTACAATAACTTTTTCAGACCTTCCCAAATAAAATCCAAAACAATTAAGATAAATATAAAAAATATTTATTTCTTAAAAATTGTAATTTTTATAACTTACAGTCAAACTTTTCGTATCTACTAATAGATAGCCAATCATTTCAAAATCAACTATTAGTACAATTATATCTAAAAAAAATATGTAGGTACCTATCCACTTTATTTCATTTTCTTTATGTGCAACAAATGTTTACGCATAGCCTGCTGTTTATCACGGAAACTCTTCTTGACCTTCGAGCGGGCTTTGTAACGCATCATCACAAAGTTCTTGTGTTTTTGTTTTTCACGATTCGTTTTGGAACAATTCTCATTTTGTCTACCGTCTTTCCAGCCGAATTTCTCACGGTCTGTTCGGCCACTGCATACTGTTTCTAAACGACTTTCCTTGTCGTGTTTACGTTTCTTATAGATCATTTCAATATTGTCCAGTTTAACGAATTCTTGACGATCCTTCTCCAAGGGACGTTTGCGGGCATTCGTTACAGTTTTCTTTAGATTGGCTATGTTGATCCGTTTAAAGTCTTCGTCCGTGAATATACGGGTTAAGGCCAATTCTTGTGCTGCCTCTTTTTCACTCAAAATTTTAGCTTCTGACTTTTGGGATTTTTTCGAAGCTTTCGATGTGTTCGATGATATGGAGTTCTTACGGGAAACATTCTTATTTTTCGGCTCATTTGGATTTTTCTCTTTCTTATCTGAGTCTTCCTTATTTTCTTCGTTGTCCGAATCCTCATCTTCTTCCTCGTCATCTTCATCATCGTCCTCCTCATCGTTTTCACTGTCACATTCCTCGCCATTATCTTCATCATCATCTACATCTTCATCATCATCTACATCATCATCACCCTCTTCGCCATCATCCGACAATTCTTCCCCATCATCTGACACATCTACCCATCCACCATCATTGGAATCGGTGTCATCATCATCACTGCCCAAATCGATGGTCTTAGATGATTTTAACAAAGCCTCGGCACCAGGTATAGTCTCATGCACCTCCACCTGGCCATATGCCTTGGGCTTGTGTTCAGCCTGAGCCTCGGTTAAACGACCTCTATCCTTTTTATGTAACAATGCTGGCAATTGTTCTCTGTACAACATAATCAAGGAACGTGCTGCCATCATGACGGATTTTTCTTTGTATGCTTTGTACATGGCTAAATCCCGCAGTAAATCTTCACCCATGGCTAATGGACATCTTTGACAAATCTCACGTGTGGCGTTCAAGCCAATGGCCATCACATCAGAAGAATTGCGTTCGGTGATGAAATTATTTGCTATAGTCTTTAGTATTGGTTCTATAACATCACCAGGAACCAAAGGATGGGAGGCTTGGGCAGCAAATTGCAAAATACGAGTCACCTGTCTCTGATGGGGCTGAATAAAACGGGTAATGTAGGGATAGTAAGAAAACAGGAACAACTCGTGAATACCAATAAGACGTGAAATGACATCCAAATGCATCAACTTCACTTCAAAACGTTCATTGTTGTTCTGTAACTGCTTGAACAATCCTTCGGCCAGACCCTGCGGATTGTGTATCAGATGTATGGCCGAGAAATTGAAGGCAGGTGCATTCTTCTTTTTCTTTTGAGCCTTGACAGCTTGCTTCTTTAACTGCTCCAATTGCTTCTTACGTTTTTTGGTCTTCTTATTTACACGACTTTGTAGCAGAGCACCCTTCAAATCGACTTCATTTTCACTATCTGAATCATCGGAACCCTTGTCTTCATCATCGTGTCCCAAAAAGAATTTCAATGAAGCAACCAACACTTTGGTGATTTTGGAAAAACATCCAACTGTGGCAATTACGTTCACAGTCTTCTCGTCATTCCAAATGTTCTTTTTGTACAGATCTATCATAATATCCACAGACATTTTGGCCGCCTTGGGATTAGCATCTTTCAACATGGAGTACATGAAATTTTGTAGACTAGAATTTAGTTTCATATCCTTATGTTTGGCATTCATATTCTTGATATCGGTTATTATGTGATTTTGTAAAAATATACGTAAATGTTTGTCCGGACAACGTAAAAGTTGGAAGAATAGCTCCAATAAATCCAGGGCAGGGATGAGATTTTTATTGCGCAGCAATATCAAAGCCTTAACAAAGCAATTACGCATTGCCGGATCCAGGGTAGTGGCATGGTTTTTTAAGAGATCCACCAAATGTTGTGGAAACTGGAGACACACCTCCGGATAGCATTGGGCCACCTGCAAAGTAACTCTTTTTGTAAAACGATTTTATATTGGGATATCCTTTCATCCACATACCTGGGCTATAAACATAACCAGCTCATCCAGAGATTTGTTCTCCTCTGTTGGATTGAGGGCAAATACTTCCAAACTACTGAGGAAGTGGCGATACTGTTGTTGAAACTCATCTTTATAGGACTCGGGATCGCGTTTTATTAAATTCTGCAGCTGCGGCAAATTGTCCGGCAACTGATTATTGTGCCGTACCATATTTAATAATATTCCACAACAATTTTAATGAAAAACAAGTTAAGTAAGGAAAGATATAAGTGGCGAGTAGTGCCCAAAACAACGGACACGTTTTTTATGTTAGGTATCCCAAAATCGAAATTGACATTTAATGGTGCCGTCAGCTGGGCTGATGCGATTACCTAGTACATCTAATGTAACAGGTAACCGCATCGGGGAATTGCTACAACCATGGTAGAATTACAAGGTAACCCTTTCAGGCCAGCTGGTATCAATTTGATATGTCAAAAAATTGTTGTAATTTGAATTCGCCTTCATTTACACATAAGAAAATTGTTGCATGATTTCAAACTTTAACAATGCTATTGATAGAAAATCGAGATTTTACGTTTTTATAGAGTATGAGGGAAAAAGTGTATATTCAACATATGGTAGGCATAGGTAATATGTAGATCTAAAATTCGTGGATATTTGAAATAAGTGAAACAGGGAATCAATTTCATTTAGGAAATAAACCGATACATGGAATTTCATCATCTTATTTGTACGGATCAACTATGTTATACACTATAGGGCTTCAACAGTGAAAGGTGAATGATGGTAGCATGTCACTACAGCGAGAAAGCTGACGATGTAGCAAAAGAAAAAAGGGTACACCCCAGAACCACCACAAAACCTAATTTTAAAGCATCAAAAATAATTTTCCGGATATTTCCTTTAAAGAACATTATCGCTGTTGAATATGAAATCAACGTTGCCAACGTTACCAAGACTGCATGCTGTGTAAGGATGATGAAGAGATAACAACGATTGGACATCTATTATCGCAAATGTCCTTCGTTGGCGCGCTGGAGACTACAATCACTCCATTTCCAGTCTGTGATTTTCAAAAATGTTGTATTGAACGTGCTATAATCAAATCAAGATGCAGCGGCTTCAGCATTACTTTCAATCGATGTTGGAAGTTTTGAATATTTGCTTTTGTAATAGAAAAAACAACAATTTTGAAAATTTTTAATTCAATATTTTGATTGGAAAAATAATTTGCCCCAAATTTTGTACTTCAAATCAATTCGCCCTGACTACAACTTAGACATATCAAGTTTCCAAAAAAGTTGCTTTGTTGTAATTTTCGCCTATGTTGCTACCTGGTATTTCTACCATGGCTACAACAAAGCAACTTTTGTGGTCCCCTCAAATGTCAAAATTGGCATCTAAGGCGAAAAACATAGATTCGCCATGACATTTATAGGTTGCGGCAAATTTGTTTCAACCAATCAGAAACGAGGTGTTTGTTTACATTTTATTTTGTGTGCCTCTCGTCGTAAACGAACGTCGCAATAAAAGTTTTTATTGTAAAACAAATAAGAGTAAAATAAGTATTAATTGTAGTATTGTAATATTTTTTAAACCAAGAAACTTATAATGACTATATTTTACAGGTTTATACCGAAAGTTTTCCGGAACTGCAAATGACAAGAATCGAATTCTTGCACTACTTCCCGTGATGTGCTTTGGGAATCTTAGATGTTGAGGCTAACTTAATTCTTAAAGCTGCACTCCATTCTAACCTCCTTCCTTCATTTTCTTTTAATTTTTTTACTGGTTTCACTCTTAACTTGCTCTTAAATTATTTGAAATATTATAAAAAGGTACTTTTAGGGAAGACAACATAAACAAATTTGTTGTTGCATTCATTGAGGGCGAATTCTTCATTACAACAATTTGTTTTGACATTTAATGGTGCCGTCAGCTGGGCTGATGCGATTACCTAGTACATAAAAAGGAACTTTTAGGGAAGACAACATAAACAAATTTGTTGTTGCATTCATTGAGGGCGAATTCTTCATTACAACAATTTGTTTTGACATTTAATGGTGCCGTCAGCTGGGCTGATGCGATTACCTAGTACATCTACCATGATCCAAGTATAAGGTCCCCCTTCCAGCTCAGCTGATTACCAGACGATCTATCAATTAAATTTGAATTCGCTGCAACAAAAACAAAATTCAAAACGATGGTAGAAGAATACAGGTAATCGCATTGCATAGCTGCTGGGGCAATGAACTGTCAAACCAATTTTTAAGTTAAAAATTTAAAATGAAAAATTATTGCAATGCTTGGGAACATTAATATGTCAAAATTGTTAAAATGTTTTGTCAAAAATAAGTAAATTTTTATACGTTTTCTAATACGAGGTTGTTATGATATGCAATTTTTACAAATATCAACAATTTTTCGTTTAACATTTTTAATTTCAAATTCGGTTTGACGGTTCATTGTCCCAGCTGTTGCGTCGATGCCCCTACCTGTATTTTTGTACCATGTGTTATACATACAAAAAATGACAACAAACATATTTGCCACAAAATTCTTCTTATTTTCGCCTCAAGCATGAATTTTGACATTTCATCTGGTAAAATAACAGCTGTTTTTAGATTAATTCGCTCGAAGGAAGACCTTATAATTGGGCCATGACATCTACCTTGCTAGCATGGTACAATGATATCAAGGTAGGGCTATGATACCATATGATTTTAATTTTTTTTTATTTTCTTGGCCTAATATGTCATCTTTTTTGTTTATGTATGTGTTTTCTTTTCAATAACAAAAAAATTGTTCAAAAAACTTTCAAATTCGGGTGTTTTCAAAATGTTCATTTCAACGCATGCATCGACAAAATCTAGAGTTTTTGTAGCGAAATAATCCTTTAGATATATATAGTATATGATTTTGAAAAGAAGTGTTGACCTTTCATTCAGTTATCGCGGTTTTCAATTATTTATTCAAAATAAATGCAACAAGTTGTTTGATTTTTTATTGTTGTGATACTAATTCTGACATTACAAGCCAAACAGGTAGACCTCTATACTTGCAATTTTTTTAAAGTTGACCTACCTTCTCTTCATTGTACCATGCTTGCTAGTACATCTACCTTGCAAGTACGTATGTTGGGGAACGTCTGAAAAAGAAGAAGCATATATGTCGGTTATTAATTCTGAATCCACACAGGGTCCATCGAGTGGATGCTCGAAAATTTGAAATAAAAAATATTTCCTTTATGAAAGCCCAGGAGAATCTACGAGTAAGTTTTTCGCCAGAGCCTCTTTAGCGAAAACAGGGGCCACCATGTGTGGGCGAGGTTGAAATTTGGAAAGGAGAGGCTTTGTGTACAAAAGTTTTGTATTCGCTTCACTTTCCCATATAACCCCCATCTATAACTAGAAAATAAATATATGTATTAAAAACATTAAAACAGTAAAAATTCTAAATACTACAACTACGGCTATATATACAAAAGTACAAAAAAAGATACGTTTCAAACCATTGTTACGTACGTTTCGTATATTTCTGATTATCTGCTCTATTGTGACTTATTTAAAAGATTTTAAAAAAAATATTCCAATAAGCCAACAGAGAGCCCCTAATCATCATTTTGTAGGTAAACGCAACTCGAAAAACAAGCAGCAAATGCTCAATATGCACGATAAACCAAATATCAGACAGACGTAAACGGAACAACCAAACCAAACGTATCAATCGGACAAATAAAGGCTAATGAGTGGCAAAAGAAGATACTGTTATACGTTAGACATTTTAATGTATTAGTAAAAAAAAAAAGCGCAAAGCGAGGCTTCTAACGTGCGTCTTGTTTTTGTATCAAATGAAAACAAATCAAGTGGCTTGTATTATTAAAAAAGACGTTACGCGTTAAAGCACTTTTCGGACCAAAATAATGTTCTGTCAATAGATCTGATTAGTTTAATAACACAATCGGATCTAGATTTAACATTAATAAGATCATTAAAAGCAGGTCTACCACCGCAACGTTTCCTAATTTCTCCAAAGTCATACGCTATGCCATCATTGACACAGTGTTTAGGTTTAATCCCTTCATACTCCAGCAATAGAGACGTCATTGTTTCCAATGATTGCTGAAGCATAAAAGGTATGTTGCCGCACTCAACAAATTGCAAAAAAATATGGATCTATAAGCTATTGCGCACGCCTCATTTTTATCATTATTTATGAAATTGTTCGTGCAAAGCTCTACAATTGGTATTATACCAGCAAATAATTTTTTGGTTGCCTCTACCATTACTTGCTCGGTTTCCGAAAATATATCACTGTCAAGAGCGGCAAGCACGTTTCTGTTAAAAATAGCTGCCGCTCTATCCACTGGCTTATTTTCGTATGAATACGATTTGTAGTAGCTTGTTGCAAAAAGAGTTTTTTGCAATTGCGAACAAGTAATATTACTAGCATCTAAATCGTTTTTAGACTCAAAAATTTTGAAAATTAGTGCGGGAGAAGCGACGTCTATCTGTTTGCCCAACCTGCTTTTAATAAAAACTTGATTGTCTAAAAAGTAATTTAATAAATTAGTTAGCAAGTGGGGAATATCGAACATACAATGTAAAGTATCTTCTGAATTTGGAGGAAAGCACAGACGATTTGGTCCAAGGTAGCCGCGATATTGCTGGAAGAATTGAACATGAACAGTATGTCTATCGCAAATTAGTGAAACTATTTTCAATGATAGTCCCTTTAGCCCAACGAGTACTTCTCAAAGTACACCTTCCAGTACCGAAATGCTATATTCCCGTGTTAGTAAAAAGCCTAATAGTATCCTCCACTCGTTACATAACCCACTAAGCTGCAGTCCTAAAGAATATGTAACGACATTACTGTCCGTGTCAGTAACTTTTAATGAATCAAATTGGATTGCACACGTACGTTCCTGTTCAGTCATCCCTTCAAGAATAGTGTGCAAATTTTCTTTAACATCATCGTCAAATCCCACGAGAGTTGGTTTCGTTTGCCAACTTAGAAAACTTTCGGTGCTGGGGAGAGCAAATTTAAACTTATCTATCATGTATTCATAATTTTCTTTTGATAGAAGTTGAAGGTGTTGTACTACATCTAACTGCTCAGGTGTGTACGAGGGTGTTGAGTCATTTGTGATGACGCGAGCAAATGCTATACTGGCTTTACTTGCCTCCTTCCCTGGGAAAATTCCATTTGCTAGGAGAAACTCAACTTTTTCTTCAAGTGCCGCCACTTTCGCAAGTTAAAGTTCATTTTCTCTTTGCAAACAGATATCTTTGTTTAT